TGGGGACCTACATTTACTATTCCAGTAAGTTTTATGTTTTACATTTTTTTGTTTCTAGTAGAAGAATGTACATATGAAAAAGAAAATAAAAATCTCAAGTAGACAGTCATGTCTGGGCCATTGTCTTGAACACAATTTAATATATTTGCAGAGAAAACTTCAAGAGCATAAAATATTTTAGCCTTTATTTTTATTTTGAAATCTTGGTGCTATGTAGGTTACTAAGTATGAAATGTCCAATTTCCTTAAGTTTGACAGTTGATATCTCTGATATTTCACTTTAACACTTCTTGTTTTATTTTTATGGTGAAGGTATATCCTCATTCTTTCAAACATATGGTTTGGCTTGAGATTTTCTTTCAAAATTTTTAGAGCAATTTTTGTGAGACCATAGATACAAGTCAAAAATTCATGTTATTTTAAAATATGAGTTCTATTGTGGAACCAATGCAGCACAGACAGCTCGAAATATCAACAAATATCCTTTGGGAAGGATGTGGCTTATGAACACACTGTATGTCAATGGTTTCAGCAGTTCTGTTCTGGTGACTTTAATCTTGAAAATGATCCACATGGGCGACCTGAGATCAAGATGGATAATGATGAGCTGAAAGCTACAGTAGAAGTGAATCCATCTCAATCTGCATGTGAATTAGCAGCAAGGTTTGATGTTACTATTCCAATGACATTGGACCATTTGAAACAAATCAGAAAGAGAAAGAAGCTGAATAGATGCATATTGCATGAATTAAATGAGCGTCAGAAGAGAATATTTCTCAAAGCTCGCCTTTCTTTGTTGTCACACCATAAAGACAAACCATTTCTACACTGTGTTGCTATGTGTGATGAAAAAATGGATTCTTTTTTTTTTTTTTTTTTTTTGAGACAGAGTCTCGCTTTGTTGTCCAGGCTAGAGTGAGTGCCGTGGCGTCAGCCTAGCTCACAGCAACCTCAAACTCCTGGGCTGCAGTGATCCTTCTGCCTCAGCCTCCCGAGTAGCTGGGACTACAGGCATGCGCCACTATGCCCGGCTAATTTTTTTTTTTATATATATATCAGTTGGCCAATTAATTTCTTCTTGCTCAGGCTGGTTTTGAACTCCTGACCTTGAGCAATCCACCCGCCTCGGCCTCCCAAGAGCTAGGATTACAGGCGTGAGCCACAGCGCCCGGCCAAAAATGGATTCTTTTTGACAATCACAAACATTTGGCACAATGGTTGGATAAAGATGAAATGCTGAAACACAGTTCAAAACCAAATATTCATTTAAAGAAAGCTAATAGTGTCTGTTTGGTGGTCAGTGCTGGTATTATCCACTACGGCTTCATGAAACCTTGTTAATCCATTACACCAGATGTCTACAGAAACCAACTGGATGAAATGATGAGGATGCTTGTGATTAAGCATTAAGATTGGTCAATGGAGACAAGCCAATCATCTTGAAAGACAACGCTCAAACACATATCGCACAAATAACACTACTCAAACTACAGAAGCTGGACTTGGAAACTCTCTATCATCCACTCTATTCACCAGACCTTGCACCAACTGACTACCTCTTCTTCCAGGCTTTGGACCACATCTTCCAAGGAAAAATGTTCAATTCTCAACAAGATGTGGAAAACGCCTTTTACAATTTCAATGCCACTCACTCTCCAGGCTTCTTTGCTGTTGGCATAAACAAGCTACCATTAAGATGACAAAACTATGTCAATAGTTTAGACAAAAATTTTGATTAATTGTACTGCTTCTTGTTTGAGATATAATAAACTAAACTTTTGATTTGAAATCGGGTATTTCATATTTAATGACCTATATAATTTCAACAATAAGTCACATTTTCTGCAAAATTACTATAAGAGATTTAGAAGGCTCATGTAAAAGGAAAACAAAACTTCAAGTAACTTCAATACTAAGAAGAGTTCTAACACCACCTCTGGATATTGTTTCACCACCTTCAGCTCTTAGGTAAGGTCCCCTTTGATCACTCCGGAGAAAGCACATTCTTGATCATGCACTGCAAGAGATTAGTGTAATTTTATTTTAAGCTTTGCTTCTCAAGCTGGAGTGGGTGTGATTATGGCCCTAGCATTCTTGGCCTGTAATTCCCGGGATAGAGTTTCCACACAGTGGGTGGGGCCTGGGAGTAGTAAAGCAGTCCCAGTTCTCTCATGTGTGCCTACCTAGAACAGAACTTTTATAAGACAGGGGTAGTAGAGATGAGAAATGCAGGCAGTTTACCTCTTGTGGTAAACCCAAAGATTTATACTGAGAGCTTGGGGAGAAGGAGCCCCCATCTTCTTGGCTACATCTATGCAGAATAGGGTGCCAGTGACAGAACTTTGTAACAGAGCTTGGTTAAAGTGGAGCAGGCAAGGGAATGAGTCATGGCTCCAATAAACAGGTGCTCACTGTAATCACTGAGATTCAGTGAATTATACTGAATGAATGTTTCTCCATTTGCTCCATGCCCTTAGGACAATTTCCAGGGTCTTCAAATAATTTGTATGTGTTTAAATATAATTTTCTCCACTAAATTGTTGTTTTACTGCCTAGCAACTTAGTCAAGCTCCTTACCCAGAGAACCTGGAAGTCCTGCATCTCATTCTTTATTTCTTCCCTGAATTACTGCAACAGCATCTTGTGTTGTCTTCCTAACTCTATCCTCACTTGCTACCAATTCATTTATTCATAATTCCTCCACAGTAATCTCTAATATGCAAGCCTGATCTTGCCATTCCACTATTGAAAACTACTCAATGACACTTCAATGTTTCCCAGGTAAAATCTATTCTCTATAATACCCCTTGGATGTACTAAATCTTTGCTGATTTAGCACCTCCCTGCCTTTTTAATATAGTTACTATTTTCTTATTTTTCTCTACTTCCTCTATTATACTATCTCACAGATTCCTACTATACAAATGTGAAAAACAGCTATTATTTGTTTCCTTTACCTCACTTCCCTTCCCTTCTGTTGTTACATATGAGCCTTAGTGAAAAGCAGACCCCTTGGAAACAGAATAGGTTTGAATATTGTGTCCATCATTTACCCTCCACTGAGTTTCCACTTTCTTATCTGTAAAATGGAGATAATAATAGCAGTTTACACATAGGATGACTGCGGATATTAAGGGCAATAATGTATGCCTGTCAAGAACTCTACAAATATTAGCTATTGTTATTAATATTCTTATGTCCTTTTTTGTTCATTTCCCAAGTCCTCATTCATTTTTCAAGAGGCAGACTACACATTCTCAAAGATCTTTTGCTAACTTATACTTCCCTTGCCTCATGCCACCCGACTCTCACTTCTCTATTTTGTTCCTATATCCATGATATACATTTATAGTAGCTCTTACTAATAAAATAATAATAATTTCTCATTTTATCTTCCTTTAGACAACTGAAAACATCTTGAGGGCATGGAATAGGCCTTATTTACTTTTGAATCTCTGGTGGCAGCATCTAGGCCACTGAAAGAAGTTCAGTGAAATTTGGAAACATTAAGTCCCAGCTGTAGCAGAGACTAGAATGCAAAGCCATGGAGACAAATTTTGCCAAAGATGGAGATTTCTTGGCTCAATAAAAGTTATTCACTCAATTGGCTTCCACATTAGTGGCTGGAAGGAATATTTTGCCAGCCAGCTGAGTTCTGACTAACATGAAGACCTGGTGATCCAGGCATCCTACCAGGTTCCTGGATCTAAACAACTGTGAGCTAGCCAAGCCTTGGCTCATTTTGATTCCAACCTCTTCATGTATTTACAAACTCATTATCCCTTAAAGAATTTGACATAGAACCTTTCTTCAAAAGTGCTAACTTAATAGTAATTGTGAAAAAAGGTTGACACTGAGAAACCAACATTTGGGGTGACTATCAAGGTTTACACTCATCAAAATCATGATGAAAGGTGAAAGCCTTATTTTGATGAATCTGCCAATTTTTCTACAGTTTGAAGAGCCACAAACCTGAATGTGAAACATGTTGTGTTTTTCCTAACTGGAATTTCAAAGTACTCGCTTATTAGTTTGGTCACATTTTTCTGTCAAGAAAAGTTACCACATTCAGAATTAAAAATATAACATTTAACTCTGAGACAATTTCTTCTGTGTTAAGCTCAGTTTCTACTGCAGAAGAGATTTATTTCCTTTATTTTTTTCTCAGAATGTCCTGAAATTAATCATCAATTATAAAATACACATGAGAAGTTCAAATATGTATACACATTCATACAAATACACACACAAACAAATACATGCACACACATACACACAGATATAAATACATAATTTTCCCAGATTTTCAGCAAAATCGTTCATCATACCAAGGGTCACCTTCACACATTCCTGCTTTTGCATGTTGATTATGGCATTTCTCTTTAGATTGCTAGGGATTACTTGACAATTACTAGTGCAATTTTTGTGGACAAAAGCATTTGAATGAAAATCATATTCAGGCTGACAGTTTTCAGTTTGACTCTCATGTTCTAGCTTTTCCTCGCCCTTTTCTTCCCTTTTTGTCTGACTTAAACCACTTCCAGGACAATTCCTTTTTCCATGTGTCCTGATTCCAAAGGATGTAGGTACTACGTAATATTTAACTTTTAAAAAGCTTTTTACTTCCTGTACAAAGACAATCGAGCTGCATGCAAACTTGTATCACTACCCTTGAGATATTTTGATGATACAACATGCTATGTGTAATAAAATACTCAATTAACCTATTCTAAGTTGTTCTACTCATTGCTTCATGGACAAATTGGATGGCTTATTTATTTGGATTCCAAATATCAACTTAGTGTAAATGATGAAACTATTTAGAAAGGAATTCAGTTAAAAAGTAATTTCAATATTCTCCCAGTAATCCACTATGCCATGTCATATTTTTGTTTTGTAATGTGTCGTGGTGAGGTTTACTGGTGGTAGAAATGCCTGATTCCAGCCAGGTATTTGAGGACATGGGGCTATTCCATTATACAAAGATAAAAATGCTACAGAACAGGAATACAGAATACCTTCTCAGTATTCAATATTATTTAATTCGAGATCATAAAAAACATAAGGTAGTAATAGTTGGCATGCTTTGGCTGATTGACATAACACATCTAGGTTGTTGATATGCCCAACTAATCTCAATGAAGATTCTCAGTGTTCTCAGATGCCCAGCTTGAATGGAGATTCTCAGGCCGGATTGCATTTTACTTCTGGAAAAATAAGAAAAACAGCTGCTCGGGAGAACTGCTTTATCACCAGTGCTTCTGACTGTCTTCGATTTGTATGTATTCTTTTCAGTCAAATAAACTACACAGAATCTTAGAAACTGATATTATACCTTGTGACACACGGCATAGAAAGCAGGGTTCAACACTGATCTCACAATGTATTATGAAAAGTGCAAGAAATCAGATAACTAAGTTTAGAATAAGAACATTCTCAATCACTAAAATGGAAAAGCACACCCTCACCACTTTTAGGCACAACCCATGAGAAACTATGGAAAACAGGTGATGTAATTGTCAATGCTAGGTATCCAAAAATAAAGTATCCAATTACTAGGTATCCAAAAATAAAGTCCATCTAGTCATGCAACAACAACAACAAAAATCACCTTTCTGTTACAGTACAATGTACAGTAGATTGGATATCATTTTATTTACACACATCAAGAAATAAATTAAACAGGCACCTAAACTAGAGACAGGATATAATAGAGATATGAATCCTCTGTCCTATGACTTGGTATTGTTCTTTATTAGACTTATTCCACACCAAAGACCAAGGACTAAGTCCAAAGAAAACATTAATATGGTTTTTAAATGAGGCCAATTTGTGCCAATAAAATAAGTTCCACTGTGTACCTCCCTCACCATCCATGAAATAGGCTGATGAGAAATTATATTTCTGTTAGGCAGAATACTGAAAGCTGAAGATCAACCCATGCTGAGGCACAGAAAATAAACATGACAACCCACAGATACCATATGTATGACTTAAGTACGATTGTGTTTTCAGGCTTAAAAGTCTGAAATAATTATTTAAGGTAGAAGATATTTAAAAAAATATGGTAGCTTTACATCCCTGGTGATCAGATGTATTTATTTGTCTCTATTTTCCTGTTAAAATCATTAAAGTTCATAAGGCAAAAAAATTTTAAATAATAAATTGAACACTTTATCTATCTCTATGTAAAGCTATCCTTACATACTAATAAAATTTCCAGGTCTATACATTTAGAATATTTGAGACTTATTTGTAAGGAATGATAAGTATGTTAGTAGGACATGTCGATGGAGACTTGATAGAATGAAATGGTCACTCTGCTGACAGATAGCATTGTTCACAGTAAAATCAACACCTGACTTTATGATACGTATTTACAGTCTTCAAATCAGACATCTTTATCTTCTTCTTCCAGGACAGAAATCATTTTCCTCAACTTAGTTCATTGTGAAATGGGTTGTTATAACCAATGGCAACTCCTGTGCAAACTGAGAATACTATGCCTCTGTGCCAACTAGAGTGGCAAATTTTAAAAATTTGATTTCCTTACATGTGAAGACCAACTTTTGTTGCAATACTGACATTTCACAATTTGTCAGTTCTCGCCTTTTTTCATGCTTTTTTAAATCTGAACTTTTGCAGCATTTATAACTGTTGGCAAAGTCATGCAGTCAAAACTAAAATCACTAGCTTTCATGTACTTCCAAATCCCTGTGTCCCCTGGATCTTCAACCAGAAACACCTTGGCTTTCAACTTAAAATCAACTTTAATTTCATTTTTGTCCAATCAGTTGCCAGAGTGAATTCAATTTACTAAATATTTACTGGAAGTTTACTATTCATCTTGCATGGTGATAGGCAGAAATCCTAACTCTGAATTGAATTTCAAAGCCATGTATCTGCCTTCTACTTCTACTACCCTATGGCGATAATCTCCTAGTTAGTCTCTTTATCTACTTTCTCTCTTCCACTATATATAACATTTATTTACAGGGATTTAAGTCAATCTACCTGGGGTGGTAACACCTATTTTGCATTGTAAAGAGAACATCCAGATAGCCCTAGACCTTAGGAAAGAAAGAAATATGATGGTGTGTCTTAGAGGCCATCTGATTTTCTTGTTGATAATGCCTTTGCAACTGCAAGACTCAAAACAATATAAGTAAGCAGAATTATACAACTCCATTGTTCCATTGTTCTTTTCCAGAAAGATCATTATCTGTAAATTTAGTAGTTTAATCATGTGCAGTATATTTACAGTGCTTTTAGCCCATGTCAGTGTGTGCAATTTGCAACTCAGCTATTTGCAATTCTGAAACATATTATACGCATCACTGGCCCTTTCTCATGGCATCTTCAAGCATCTCTGTTAAAAGAGCTGGAAGCAACAAAGACTGGACATTGATTTGTTAAGAATGGATGAAAAAAAGTCAAGGCCAAGCCAACCTTTACAATCTGCAGTCCATTTCAATTTAGAAAATCTGGTCTTCTTATGAATAGAAATTCCTTCTCACTTGCATTGTCCTATCCTGGAGAAAAGAAGTGAACAAAAGTGTGTCCTGCCTTGCTACAACTGTAGAGATATGAAAATTAAAATGTCTAACACTGTGGGCACTGCCCCACTACCTCTAAAACAGGTCATCTTGCTTCTGTTTATATTACTAGGTGTTTTTTTTCCCCCTCATATTCATTACAGAGTTCTGTGTGCCTCTAAGGACAGCATTCATTAAATGTGGGCAGGCAGCCTAGAGGATTAATCAGATAAATAGTATTCCATTTGGAAAATAGTTTTGTTTGTTGTTGCTTCATCTCCACTTCTCATGCCCTTGACCTTTGATTTAATTTATTCATATATTCAGATGCCACTTCAGTGCTCAGGGGTAAGGCAGCAGCCATAATTATTCTGTTTGAGGAGGAGGACATTACAGAAGCTGGTGCCTGCAGAACTGGCTCTTCCTGAGCGTGTCACCCCACCCAACATCTGGCCAGATTCCTGTCTCTAAGAGCATGCTCTAAAGCACAAAAATGAATAGTACGTGTATGAGTTGAGTGGTTATGGAGTAAACATCCAAATTAAAATTTCTGCTCTTTCACTTACCCTATAACCTCATGGCTACTATTTATTTAACATTTTGAAGCCTCCCTTTCATCATCTATAAAACAGTAGCAATAAATGAGCATAAAATGAAATAAATGTAATGCAAGTAGCTAGTGCCTGGAACAAAGTATTTGCTCAATAGATGTTAATGATCTTTTTTTTTTTTTTAAATAATCTTGGAAATATAAGAGGTTTACGAAACATATTCCATTGTTGCTGTGGATAAGCAGATGCAATAGAATCACATGGAAGTGTGTAATAAGACATACATTTTTAATTCTTTACCCCATACATAGTGAATTAGTGAATTGGAATCTGTATTTATTACATGTCTAACAATCTTTCCAGGTAATTCTGATGGGCAGTTGAATTTGAGAACGACTATCTTATTCATTCTACCCTCAATTCTATTGTGGATGTCCTCTTGCAATATTGCTGCCAAGTTTTTCTGTAACCTCTGTTTAAATACTTAAAATAACAGTGAATTCAAAATGCCTGCTGAAACATTTCTGTCTACATACAACAGTTTTGACCAGTGATATCTTCTACCCAAGTAAAATTTTTCTCTAGTATCCCTCACTCACTGATGCAAATTCAAAACTCTGGAGTCATGTAGAAAACTATATTAACCCTTCTTTGTGTCTAATAGCTATGCATGTATTTGTAATCACAGTTTTCCTCCTTCAAGTCATCACTCCTTTAAACTAATATGTTACTTATCAATGCCAATCCCCAAATCCCAAGTTCATGTTTACCTAATCCTTGCCAAATATATTCCCACTTATAGAGTTCCAGATGCCTACACACTGCCTAGGTTCTGACTACTGGGCCCCCTTTGGAATTTTCATATTTGCAATTTAATGTGAAATTCAGGTCAATCCTATGAAACAGAAAGGGACTGATACAATTATATATGTATATTTTTGATGTATGTACAATCAAAGATATACCAAAGTCATCCGACATGTGCCAGGACAGGGTGAGGAGAGTAAAATGGTTTAGCATTTCTGGAGCAAAATGTCCTGATTTAAAATCCTAATTTGTCTACTTAATAAATAATAACGTGGGCAATGATTTTTAGTCTTTTTGGTATCTTAAGACTGTAAAATAAGATGATACAATAATACCCATCTTACAGCATTTCAAGAGAGATTAAATTAGGTAATTAATAGGACTGTTAGCACAGTTTCTGGTAATATGGCAACTACTTACCAAATGTTTATCATTAACATTCATAAACCTTGGGCACTGCAAACTAGACCTTGCAACATCTAACATGTGGCTCTTCTCATTGTGTAACACTGCTATGCCCACTCTGTCCCATGTGTCTCCCTAATTCCTACTTCTGAAGCTTCTCAAAGTGAATGTCTCCCTGGGCTGGTAATGACGACTGACTGATAGCCAAACAGTAGTTGGTCCACTGGGTTGTCTCAAGATCAGGCCCCAATTCAACACTTCACCAGATCTTATACTGGAAATGTAAAGAGCAGCCCATGTGAGTGGTGACTCACTTAGTCTTATGCTCACTTAGTCTTCATAACTGGTTGGGACTGGATGGGTTATGACTAATGTACTCCAACTCTTAAGGGACTGGAAATAAGAGTCCCTTGCTAAACAAATCAAAAACTAATTTGCAGCTAATGTTATTTTCAAATCCTCATAAGAGCCTTGAACAAGTTATTATACACATAGGTGAGTATACTGAGTGGCCTTGCCACTACTGAAGCATCAAGCTGGAAAGTTTACCCCTCTAAAAATCTGGGCCATTCACCTGTCCCCAAGCTTAGGCTACCATGTTTCTACAGACTTTATATTTTCATCAACTCACTATCTCAATTTTGGATATTTTTTATCTCTATCTTACATCAAATATTGGGGGGTTATGCGGCCACAGAAAATTCAGGCGAGAGGCAAACATGTAGGCATGTTTTGATACAACACTATCTGATGCTTTAAAGTTCTGTAAGTAGAAAAGTTCTGTAAGTAGAAAACATCTGTGAAAGTGTTTCTCAGAGTTTGGAATTGAGCTCACTTTCTCAGAATCACAAAAATATATCTCTGAATCTATCCCAAATCTACTGAATCACATGTCTTGATTTGGGGCCT